CTGCTCCCGTAAAGATTGACAATCTCAGAAACCCACAAGGGGCAGCTCTGCTCTGTCCTGCAGGGTCTCGGAGTCAGGACTGGTTCCGTGGCCGTCCAGCAGCTTGGGGTTTTTTGTTGTTTGTTTCCTGGAAGGAAGACGGTAGCATTCCCATTGGACAAAAACTCCCGCACGAGACTGGAGCCACAGTCTGCTGAGGCAGCTGGTCGCCTGAGCCCAAGTCCCCCCAGCATGGATGGATGGGGTCGTTCCTGGCCGCCCGCCCCCTTCTTAGCACTCACACACACACTCTCGGAGGTCGCCGGGGCCGCCCTGGACAGGGACTGTTATCTCTGGCTTGGCGCCTGCCCAGCTCTACCCCTGTGGTCCCGACCCATTAGGTCTAACCCTAAGACGATGTGTCTTCCCCCACCCCTACCCTCCTGCTCGGGAAAGACCCCTGTCTTGTTTCTGTGGTGCGGGGCTGGGGACGCGGCAGATTCTTGCTTTAATCTGTGAGTGGGGGCCCACAGACCCAGCGCTTTTGGGGGCCTCATCCCTGGGGCCATTGCCCTGGGACTGGACTGTCCTCTTCTGACATTTTAAGGGTGGGGTGGGCTTTGGAGGACCCTCACTCTACCCTGCACCGCTGGGCTGGCCCAGTGGTGGCGCCCTGCAGAGCTGAGTGCTGGCTCTGAAGGGCAGCTGCACCCATGCCCTGGAATGTGGGCCAACCAGCCCCTCAACCCCTCACTGCTGGGCTGGACAGTGGGCTGGGAGGGCGCCTGTGCATTAACCCACTCAGGGCCTCAGGCCAGTCAGTCTCCTGTGGCCCCCAGGGATTCCGCCCAGCTGAGGCAGAGGCCACTGATCTATCTGGGTCCCTGGAATAGTCCCCGCCCCACATTCCATTCTTGTGTTCCAGGTGTCCTGTGGCTTTGGCACCCGAGCCTGCACCTCCGCATGGCTGCGCCGCCACCGGTCTTCTTGCTCCACCAGCTCTCGGTGTAGGGACTTCTGTGCCCCACTAGCTGGGGGCTCCCGGGGCTTCCCCTGTATGAGGAGGTTCACCTTCTGTTATTCCCTGCGGCACGCAGCCGGCGGGCCAATGGTGCCGCCTGGTGGCCAGCAGTGGCCACTCCACACCCCTTCCTGCCCTGGGCTATGTGGCCTTTGCCCCCTGGCCCAATAGAGCTTACTTTATACCCTGCCACCCCACCCCCACCCATTTGGCTGGTCCTGTCTGGCGACCCAGCTTTCTCCTCTGATGTGATGGGGCAGCTAGGGCCTGGGCCACCCCGCTGCCCCCTAAAAGAGGGGGTGGGTGGGGGGATCCCCTGGGGCTGTGAGTAACTGGCAGCTCTGGAGGTCTTGAGGGGCCTGGACCCAGAATCTCAGTGGCTTTGGGGGCCCTCCCAAACCTGAATGAGGGAGCCCTTTTCAGGCAGCTGTCTGGGCTGGTTCCCTGTCAGAAGGGTGGGCGTGTCTGTGATCTGACAGTGCTCCCTGAGCACCATCTTCTCTGAGGGCTGGGCTGCCTGATGCTGACCCTGAGAGGACACAGAGCCGGGTGCTAGGGGGTAACTGGAGTAGAAAACAAACGGTGGGGGCAGGACACCCAACCTCCACCGCTGCTGGCTAGAGCTCTGCGTACTCAGCTCCAAGGAGACTTTGGCCTGTAATCATTTTGCAACCTGCCAGGAGACAGCAGGCGTTTGCACCCACGGGAATCCACGTGGGGTTCATGGGGTTCAGAGTCACTCCTTGGCTGCCTCCCACATTCCTGGCTCTCTTCCCAGAGGGCTCTGTGGGGGGCCTGAGGGATAATGGCCCGAACCCCAAGTCTGTTCAGGCCATTAGATGAGAGGGGGAAGCAGTACTATAACAAACAGACGCTGTGGCTTGTGTGTGTACCTGCTGGGGTCCCCTTCCATCACTCGGACCAAGGTTTGCCAAAAACAACAACAACAGGAAAATACAGGGCCTCTTCCTGACACGCCGACCGACATAGGAGGGGGACCGAAAAATGTCTGTGGAAAGATTCCATTATCTTCCCATCGGGGTTTTCCAGGAACTTTCCGAAGCCCCCTTGTACTTCACTCTGAATGTTCCTTCTTTACTTCCAAGGCTTACTCGATTCTCCGGGGCTCAGGGGGCGAGTCCGTGGTCAGCAGTTTGTTCTGTACTCTCTTCTCCCTCAGAGGCGGGTCTGTCTTTCTTATTTTGGAGTGTGGTGCGACCACGTTTGCAGTTACCCATGTGTTTTTGCACCTGCTACCCTAGTTACGTTTTGGACTGTGATCCACAAGGTCGGCGGTTCGAAACCACCACCAGCTCTCTGGGAAAAAGACAGGGCTTTCTACGCCCATAAACAGTCACAGCCTCGGAAACTCACAGGGCCAGTTCTAACCTGCCTTATGGGGTTGCCGTGAGTTAGTATTGACTCAGTGGCAGTGGGTTTGGTTTTTCGGGATCCTCTACCAGTGGTCCCAGAGAGAAGAAAGCAGTCTGTGCTTGTCTTTGAAGCAAAAAGTTGATGGCGTGAAGCCAGTGGCATGGCGGAAGAAAGGCCTGGCAACCTTCCGTAAAGGTGACAGTTAAGAAGACACCATGGGGAGCGGCTCTCCATAACATCGGGTGGGGATGCATTACAAACTCTCAGTCACAGGTGACTCAGCAGTGACGGGTCTTTTTTCTTCTTCTTTCAATCCTGCATGAACCTGTTGCTCTACTGCTTCGACAGAGGGGTTCTTTTCGCTCCAGTTTTCCAAGGACACTCAGGCTCAGCGTCCGGCAGTTTGCTTTGTGGCCTTGGGACGGTAGCTGGAGAAGCTGGGACTTGGACTGGTGTCTGACCTCCACTCTGGGGCACACCCACTGGCCAGCAGTCTAACCGGCATGCTTATCAGTGTTGACAAGAGCCTATTGAATGAATAAATGAACCGGCCGGCCCTTAGAATCGGGTCGGCTGGGGGTGAGGGGCAGTGGAGTCTCGGGCTCATAAGTGGGACAGGGACAGGTGGCCCATCTGGCTTCCCATGAGTGCTTGGAGCCATCCCCCCATGTGGTCCCCCAAATGGACTCTGGTGCTGTGGGCCGTGACTTGGCCTCTCAGAGCCTTTGTTTCCCCAGCGGCTGCGAGGGTGCAGGGGGGCAAGAGGGGAAGCTCTGTGCTCCTCGAGATGACTCAGGACACGACTCAGGCGCTGCTTAACTGGGGAACTCCCTGCGCCCTGCCCTGGAAGGCTGACCCAGAGGAAGTGGGGGCAGTGTGGAGCCACAGCAGCAGGTGTGGCTATGCAAGGGACACTGGGATTGGCTGTGGACACAGTTCCTTTTCCGCCCTTACCTACTCCCTCTAGTTCCTGTTCTCTGGAGAGGAAGGAAGTCAGGCCTCCTCAGGGGAGCTGGGGGCTGACCCCTCAGGCCCTGCTGTCTTTTCTGGGGTCCCGGGCCTTGGGACGCACATTGCCTCTGACGGGGTCTGGGTAGGAGCCTTTGGTCGGTGTGACCTGTGTCGAGGGCTATGAAGTCAGGGCGGCTGGGAGAAGGGGTGGGCCTGGAGTGCAAGGCCTTCCTGTAAGTGGGGCGTGTGGCGGGGACAGGGCCATGGGAAGGCTCAGGCTGGTACTCCTCAGTGCCATTTCAGTACGGCATCATCTTGGGGCACAGTAGCACCTGCAGGCCATTTGGGGGGGTGGGGGTGCTCTGAGGCTGCTGGAGGAGTCCCCGCAGTCCTGGCACTCACTTAGCTGTGATCCCTGGGGAAGGAACCCTGGTGGCACATCAGGTAAGCCTAGGACTGCTAACCACAAGGTCGCTGGTTCAAACCCATGAGCCACTCTGCAGGATAGTTGAGGCTGTCTTTTCCCATAGAGAATTGCAACATCAGAAACCTGATACAGGGTGGCTAGGAGCCAGCTGGACTCCAGGGTGGTGAGTCTGGCTTTTCAGTGTTGTGGGTGGTATGGGGTCGCTGTGAGTTGGGATTGACTCAGCTGTTGGTTGTGAGCTGGATGTTTTGGTTTGGGTCCTGGTCTCGGTTATCGGGCTGCGGTCAGTCGGGAAGGATGCAAAACAGAATGAGCGTGGCGTTCGTGTTACAGTGTGGCGTCGCCATGAGCTGATGGAGTCCGGGGTGGTGTACGTTGGGTTCACCCCTGGAAGCCCGTTGCTCCCTTGGCAAAGGGGGCATTCACGCCCTCACAGGACCTGTTCCTTGTGAACGGGACCAAGGCCCCGGTGACTCTGACCCAGGCTGGGCAGGTAGCCGGGGCTCACAGGGAGCCAGGCTGCAAGCATGCCTTCCTTCGGCCTGAGGTGTCTGGGCTGCTGGCTGTTGAGCATCTCAAGTGGGGAGGGCGGGGTGGGGGTCACGGGCCTCTCCAGCTGCGCCCTCCTGGTCTGGTGCCCGGGCTGCCCCGTCAGCGGGGAGGCCGTGCGCTCCCGTGTTGCCTCTAAAAGCCGATCCCGGGGCCTTGGAGCCTCTGGGGCTGGGCTGCTTGCCAGGCTTCCGCAGAAACAGCCGACAGAGCAGTCCTGCCCCTCCAGCCGGCTCGGCCCGAGGGGGTGGGGACCACTGCAAGGCTTCCTTCCAGCCCCCTCCCCACAGCCGGAGCCTGGGGAGGAGCCCAAAGGCAGGGGTCAGAAGGGCAGCTGCACCCCAGGCCTTCTCAGTTGGGGTGAGGGGCAAGCCTCAGGCCAGGGGAGGGGGGGGTGCTGCCTCCCCATGACGTGGGGCCCCGCCCACCCTCAGAGCTGCCCTGCGGTGTTGGTGTGTCAGAGCAGCGGTGAGTTGCAGGTGGCGGCAGGCGTGCCGGTCTTTCCCAGGTGCTGGGCTCTGAGAGGTCATCTGCTCCCAGGGGCGGCGCCGGAGCCTCTGGGGTTGGTGCTGAAGAGCTCGTTCTGCTCCCAGACAGTGTCTGCTTGGCCCAGGCAGGGGCTCCAGGGGTGTGGGCAGGGCCGGCACTGCCCCCCACCAGGCCCCTGGGCCCCTGGTTCTTAGCTGCCTCTCTCTGCAGACGCCCTGCTGGCCGACTTGGAGTCTACCACCTCCCACATCTCCAAGCGGCCTGTGTTCTTGACTGAGGAGACCCCCTACGCATACCCAACTGGAAACCACACCTACCAGGAGATTGCCGTGCCACCCCCGGTGCCCCCACCCCCATCCAGCGAGGCCCTCAACGGCACCATCCTTGACCCCCTGGACCAGTGGCAGCCTAGCGGCCCCCGATTCATCCACCAGCAGGTACAGTGGGTGGGAACGGCCTAGGGAGGCCCGGAGCAGTCGGCCAGAGGAGCCTGTCCGGCAGGCTGTGGGGAGTCACTAAAGAACTGAAGGAGCAAGACTTAGGGAGGGATGCCTGGCCAGGCCCCGCCGCCCCCACCGTCCTAGTCTTTCATCCACCACGTGCCGGTGGAGGTGGGGGTTGGGGCAGTGAACCACAGCTTAATCACTGTCTCCCAGTTGGGACTTGGAATTTCCCTGGTGAGACAGGCTGTGAGTAGGTGACTGGGGCCCCCTGTTCTCTGCCCCCGCCCCCCAGTCTCCTACCCTCCCCCATCTCAGCATTGTCCTTCCTGCAGCCTCCGTCCCCTGTGCCCGGCTCCAACGCCCCCACCCCACAGGGCAGCCTCGGCTCTCCGTGTTCCCGAGTGGGTGAAGAGGAACACGTCTACAGGTACCTCCCTACACACACACACACACACACACACAAGCGCGCGCGCCCACCTTTTCGATCTGTCCTGGGGACCTGGGTGCTGCTGAGTGGTGCCGGGGCCACTGCCTCGGGGGTCACTGGAAACTAGCTTCACGCAGAGGCTCCTGGAAGCCAGCTCTGCCCTGGGGAGGAGGGACTGCGTTAAGACTTCCTTCCTGCCCTGGGTCTTGACACCCACCCACAGACTTGGCGTGCCCCGCGGCCTCGACCTCCTCCTGGGAGGCGCCCTCCACTGTCTTCTTCCCTTGGGCCCCTTGCAGTTTCCCCAACAAGCAGAAGTCAGCCGAGCCCTCACCCACCATGATGAGCTCCTCCTTGGGCAGCAACCTCTCGGAACTGGACCGCCTGCTGCTGGAGCTCAACGCCGTGCAGCACAGCCCCCCTGGCTTCCCGGCAGGTGGGTCTCCGTCCCCCACCCTCCCGACCCCTGTTCTCGGGCCCTAGGGGGCCCCAGGCTTAGCCGCCTCTCTCTTCCCTGTCTCCCCTCAAGATGAGGCCAACTCCAGCCCCCCGCTGCCTGCAGCCCTGAGCCTGCACTACGGGATGCCGGAGAACAGCAGTCCCCTGGGCACTAAGGCCGGGACCCCGACTAAAGAGAAACCCACACGGAACGGCGGGGGCCGGGGTCTGGAAGACGTGAGGCCCAGCGTGGAGAGCCTCCTGGACGAGCTGGAGAGCTCCGTGCCCAGCCCCGTGTGAGTGCCCCGGGCCGGCCCACCTGCCCTCCCCTCACGCAGCTACCCTACAGGGTAGGGTAGAACTGCCCCTCTGGGTTCCGAGACGAGACAGCTCTTTCCTTACGGGAGTAGGGAGCGGAGCCCCGTCTTGCTCCCCCAGAGCTGACCTTTTGGCTGGCAGCTCAGGGTGTGGTGCGTCGCACTGTGAGGTGGAGTCAGCCCTGGCAGTGCCTCTGGGGGTCTCTGGTGGAAGAAAGACCAGGCTGTGTGCGCAGTCAAGGTTTCCAGGCTCGGGAACCACAGAGAGCCAGTGCTGTTAGCTTTCCAGGTGGCTGTGAGTCTGTTGGGTGGTTACCAGGTGCCAGAGCGTTCTGGGGCACCACTGTGCTGGCTGAGCATGCCCGGAGCCCTGCAGTTAGGGGGCATGGGCTTTGGGGGCAGCCCCCTTGGTTTCCAGTGTCAGCTCTGGCCCTCTCTCAGGGCCATCTTTCAAGCCTGAGTTCCTCCAAAGGGAAGATGGGGGCAAGGCCGCCTACCTGTGAGGGTTAAACTCGCAGTACACAGAGCGAGAACCTGGGGGCTGCCCCTCCTCTCCCAGCTCCGATGGTCACCGCAGAGATGCATCCCTCGGGCTGGCGGCCCCTCCAGTGATGAGTCCCCAGGAGAGAGTGGGATCTGGTGGGCTCCCAGGGGGAGGGTCTCTCCGAGGTGGAGACCCCTGCTGACGGCCCGCTTGCCCTGCAGCCCCGCCATCACTGTGAGCCAGGGTGAGATGAGCAGCCTGCAGCGAGTGACTGCCAGCCAGCAGCAGACCCGCATCTCGGCCTCCTCGGCCACCCGGGAGCTGGACGAGCTGATGGCCTCCCTTTCGGACTTCAAGGTGCCCTGTGTTCCTGGCCCTCCTGTTGTGTCCCTCCTCCCGGCCCCAGCCTGCTCCTCCCTTGGCTCAGTCAGGGCCCGGCGTGCCCAGGCAGGGCATGGGGAGGGAGGCTGGCCTGCATGCGTGGGGGTCGCGCTGCCCCAGCGTCCTTCTGGGAAGGCCAAGCTGCTCTCAGCAAGGACATTCCTGTTGGCTGGGGCTCCAGCCTGGCCTCCCAGAGGCTCGGACAAAGGACCCTGTGTCCAGGCCGCCCTTGGAGGGGGAGGGCATCTCTTCTGGGTCCTGGGATCCCGTGCCTCAGAGGTCATTTGCTCCAAAGTCCCATCTCCCACGCTGGCTGTCCTCAGCGCCTCCTTTTCTTTCTGCTGCCTCAGCCACCTCTGCCCCTGCCTGCCTGCTATCCCTGCTCCCTCTGGGGCTTGTGTGAGCCCTGACCGTCAGGCTCTCAGGCCCGTCTTGCCTGTGCCACTCACACCTCACTGCTTCCAGCTGCCCCTGGCCTGCCAGGCGGGCTGTTTTCTTCCGAGGGGCTCAGTTCCCACAGACCTCTCAGTTGTTGCTGATGTCAGCCTTCCGCTGGAAACCCCGGGCCTCACAGGGCTTGATGTGGGACAGAGGAGGGAAGCCCATGGTCTGAGCGCTCCAGGCCCTACAGCTGGGGCATCGTGGTAGAGGGAGAGCCTGTGTATGGGGGAGGTGCTGAACCTAGGGCTTGGGACTCGTGGGTGCTAGGAGCAGCCACTGTCAGGAGCCAATTGGTTGGGTGGTGATGTTGGCCTCTGGGTGTCCTTCCCTGGTGCCTCCAGGTCTGTGCTTGCTTCCTGAGGTGACCAGTGTTGGGAGCTGCTTCTGGCTATGTCCCAAGCAAGGGCCCGGGGAGGGGGTGGGGGGAAGCTGGAAGCCAGAGTGTCTTACAGGGCTGCCTCTCTCAGTTTGTGTCCAGGACTGGCCTCCCTGGTCACTGGACTCCCCAGCTGTAGCCCCTCACCTGCCCACCTCACCTGTAGCCTCTCTCTCTCTCTGGTCCCTCCGTCTGGCGGGGACTTGGGTGGTGGGACTCAGGGCCCGCTGTCCTTAGGGCTGGGTCACCTTCAAGGGTCAGTCTCCACCCTCAGCTCTGCAGTCCCTTCAGCTAACATAGACGCCAGTTGTCTTGGTATCCCTCGGTCAAGCCCACCCTGCAGTGAGCATCCTGCCTCACCCCGGCCCTTCTCTCTCTTCCTCTCCCCTCCGCCTTTGTCTCTCTCCTCTTCCAGACCAGCTCCTCAGCAGTGGCTCTGAGCCCCCCAGGGCTGCTACCCCACCCCGCTGCATCCCCACCCAGCACACTTCCTCCTCCTCGTCCTCCTGAAGGCCAGTGCATTGAGGACAGTGGCAGTGGCCAGGGCCTCCTAGCTCCCGTGTTCTCCAGTGATTTTGGGGGTACTCTGGGCACCTCCAACTCCAGGGCTCCCTCTGCCGAGGGTTCCCAGGGGCCCCTGGATGCCAAGAGGGGAGGCTGTGCTGCAGACACATGGAACCCAGAGGGGGAACCCTCCAGGGAGCCCCCCAGTCATCCCCCGCGCCGAGCTGGGTGCGCAGGCCACCAGGAGCCTGGAGACGGGGCTGTGGGCCTGGGAGCTTTGGAGGCGGTCCAGCTGAAGACCCAAGATGATGCTGTACGCAGCGTCCAGGACGTGGCCGAGCCCCCTGTTGTGGCCGTGGACCGCCAGGTTGTCTTCCCGGATGTGTGGAGACTGGAGACGGTGTGTGGGCAGTGGAGAGACAAGGCCAGGCCAGGGCCGGCGGGCCCAGAAGCGGGCTGCCCTGCCCCTGCTAAGAAGGAGAAGCTAGATGGAGAGACAGCCGGGAGCGGCGGAGGCCAGTGGGAGCCAGGCCAGGGACTGCAGAGCCCGGGGAAGCCAGTGGCAGCTGCAGAGGCCGGTCAGGCACCCGTGGAGCTTCCGCAAGCCTCCGCTGAGGACACGCACCAGCCCACCGAGAGAATTTCCACCTCCGGACAGGCAGGCGCCAGCTCGCATGGCTGCCCGCTGCGCTTGGCCCTCTCAGGCCTGCCGATGGCTGAGCACACCTCCCAACTGCATGCCACCCACCCCTCGTGCACGTGTACCGCCGCCATGCAGAGACCTGCCCGCACCACTAACTACCAGGCCTGCACAGGGGCGCCCCCACCCCAGGATGGCTCTTAGTGACCACCCACCTCCTTTGTGTTTGAAACAATGAAGAAGCCACCTCTGACCCTGCTCTGTGTGGGTGGTGGTGGGGAGGCGTGGCTACATGCATGGGCTTTGGAATCAGAGACTTGGATGCAGGCACTGTGTCCCCCACCCGGCCTCAGTTTTCTCATTTTTGAAATGGGCGTAACCATAGAAGGTTTCCCCCCCCCAAGGTTGTCCCAAGGATGAAATGAGGTCAGAGCCCCGAGACCCTCAGGAGCCATGTTCTTATTTGTGGCTTGCTCGATGACGTATGCCCTTGTGGCTTGCTCGACGACAGTGTATGTATGCCCTTTCAAAAACACATGCGACCGTCGGCAGACCGGTGGACGACAGAAGGTGGAAGACGGGAGGCGCTTAAAGCCGCCCTGCCAGAAAAGGCTACGTTTCCTGTTGAAAACCAAATAAGGAAGGAAAGAAAGAAAAAAAGAATGAAGCCACTTCCCTTTTAAGAGCTTCCACATCTTTCTCCCGGATAACCCTTGTGGCAGGCCTATGAGGGAGGCTGTGAAGACAACGGGGCCCCGTTTCCAGGATGGAGAAGCTGAGGCCCTGGATGCTGAGTGCAGATCCCGGGGGAGACTGCTCTGCCCTGGCCTTCGTCCCAGGCCCTCCTGCTGCCACCTGCCTCTGCTTGGCTCTTCTGTGGCCTGTGTGCGTGTCCACTGCCAGGGCAGCAGGGTGGGCCTGTGACAGCATCCCCTCCCCGCCCCTCAGATTCGCTCTGTGATCAGGAGGAGCCGTGAGACGAGCCACGCGCACCCCATGTCCCGGGAGGCCTCCCCCCGCCGCCGTCCGGACCCCGCCACCCTGAGCAGGACGCCCTCCCAGGAGCAGCTCCTTGCCGAGCTGCAGGCCCGGCTGGGCGTCCAGCCCCAGTCGGCCTCGGTGGCGGCGGGGCCCTCGGCGGAGGACTGGCTGACAGAGGGCGTGGTCATCACCGTGCGGCCTCGAGGGAGGCGGGCTGGGGGGCAGCTGGTGGAGAAGGTAGCAGGGAGGAGGGCACAGCCTGGACAGGGGTGGGGTGGGGTGGGGTCTACCTGTCTCACCTTTCCTCCTCTTGCTCCTCCTCCTTTCTCTCCAGGTTGTCTTCTCTCCCAGCTCTCCCGTCCCCCTGAGACGGACTGCCTCTGTGCTGGCCTCCCCTCCTCCTCTTGCCCCTCCGCCCCAGCATCGCAGAGACGCCTTGGCCAGTGGCCACCCTCCCTTGTCCAGCCTGCCCACCCCCGCTGCCTTGGGACCCTCCGCTCGTACCCGGGGCTCCCCTGAGCTGCCCTTGGAGGCAGCTGCTGGGCAGGCTCCTGCCTCTCCCGTCCACACAGCGGTCACTCTGAGGTCTGTGGGCTGCCAGACAGACGAGGACCCGCTCTTCCCCTCTGAGCAGGCAGGCCTCTCAGCGCCGCCCTGCCCTGCCCTGCCCTGCCCCAGCATGCATATGCACTGTCTCTTCACAGCCCCAACACAGAGCCTGCGTCATCCCTCCCCATCCCCCAGGGCTGGCTCCCTGTGGAGGCTCCTCTGTCCCTGGTCCCTGCTCTAGGCCTCGACCTTGGCTGGCCCCGATCCTTCTTCCCCTCCATCTCTGCCGGGCCTCCCTCCCTCTCCCTCTCGCTTGGTAATGGACATGCTCGCTTGAGTATAGTGTTGCCAGAGAGACAGGCCCGCTTCACTCCTTCTAAGTTCCCTTTTGTGAATGGATCCAATGGTGGACGAGGCCCCCATTCCCTCTTCCTTGGTTCTGAAAAACCTTCTTTCCCTCCTCTTTTCTGTCCCCGTTGAAGATCCAGGGCCTGGAGCAGAGTGCGGATGGAGAGCTGTGCTGGGCGGCCTGCTGGGCTGCGGACGGCAGGCAGAGCAGTCAAGGGCGAGGCGAGGGAGGGGTCAGTGACTAGGCTGGGGCCCAGAGTCCCTCGGGTTCAGTCTCAGGCTTCTCCAGCCAGCTGGGCACCACCAGTTCTCCCTCCCACAGACCGGCAGAGCAGACCCCTCACATTCCACTGAGTCGGCTTTTTAGGCCCTTGGGGGAGGGGGGGCCGTCCTGCCGCCACCGTCTTACCTGAAAGCTAGCAGGGAGAAAGGCCCTGAGCTGTGAGACACCCTAGTCCCCAAGACCTGACCTGTGGCCTCCTGTCTCCACAGTTCATGTCCCAGGGGAAGGCGGGGAGCAGCTCTCCCCCCGGGGGCCCTTCGAAGCCCGGGAGCCAGCTGGACAGCATGCTGGGGAGCCTGCAGTCTGACCTGAACAAGCTGGGCGTGGCCACCGTCGCCAAAGGGGTCTGCGGGGCCTGCAAGAAGCCCATCGCCGGGCAGGTGACTGGGGGCGGGCAGGGTCATGCAGGCGAGTGGGCCCGGAGCTCCACTCCTCGGCCAGCTGCACCCACAGCCTGTCTTCTGCACAGGTGGTGACCGCCATGGGGAAGACATGGCACCCGGAACACTTCGTGTGCACCCACTGCCAAGAGGAGATCGGCTCCCGCAACTTCTTTGAGCGGGACGGCCAGCCCTACTGTGAAAAGGACTATCACAACCTCTTCTCCCCGCGCTGTTACTACTGCAACGGGCCCATCCTGGATGTGAGTGCCAGCCAGCCATGGGGGGGGT